AAGACAGGGACTTGTCTGATTGTCACTTCATGGAACTGACTAAGAGATAAAAACAGTTTCCTGATCTCTTCTTCTCTGGCTCTCTGGAGCCAGAGCATCCACTGGGACCACGACCTCTGGGATTGCCCTCAGCCCAGCAGTGCCAGCGCCAGGCCTGGGGCCAGGCAGGCAGCCAAGCCCATCCCCAGGAACAGCAGCTGGGGCTGGCACAGGGAGGAGGGAGGCTGGAAGCTGATGCAGGGAAGGAGCGAGGGAGAGAGGCGAAGTTAGAGCTGAGACTGAAGGAGAAAAGCTGGAGGCTGATCTTAGTCCAGCATAAACTGAGCAGTTACTGTCTTTCAAGTAAACCCCCAAGGCTGTGCATAGAAGTAGGTTTCCTGGTTTGTGGCTTTTTTGCCCCCTTTATTCTTCTTCCTACCTTTCCTTTCTTCCCACCCCTCCTTGTCTCTCACTCCATTTCACTCATTTATGCCACTTTAGCTGAAACAGGAGAGCAGAATCACTTACTGCAAGAACAGGAAAGCTGCTGTGGGCATTTGGGGCGTCAGCATACCTGAACTGCCCCAGGAGACCTGGCCTGGCTGCTGACAAGAGCACTGTTATAGAAGGGAGACTTGATTCTGTCACCAACTTTGTGATAATAACAACTGTAATAAAGGCTAACACTTACTGAATACTTTTTAAAAAATTTTTTTATGCGGTACGTGGACCTCTCACTGTTGTGGCCTCTCCCATTGTGGAGCACAGGCTCCGGATGCGCAGGCTCAGCAGCCATGGTTCACGGGCCCAGCCGCTTTGCGGCATGTGGGATCTTCCCAGACCAGGGCACGAACCTGCGTCCCTTGCATCAGCAGGCGGGCTCTCAACCACTGCGCCACCAGGGAAGCCCCCTTACTGAATACTTTTTATGAGCCAGATATTGGGCAGAGGATTTTACATGGGTTATCTCATTTACTCTATCCACCAGACCATGAGGTACAACTGTCCCATTAAAGTTACATGCTGATGGTCACAAAGTTGGTCCATCACTATGATTCAGATCCAGGTTTGTCTGCTCCCAGAGCTCTTCCTCTTAATTACCCTGCTCCAGTTTCTCCCTTCCTATATAGCTCGTTGACCTCAGTGTACCTCCATTTCTCTTCCTATGAAATGGGGGTAATTATTTCATAGAGCTACATTTATATGTAGCTGTTACAATGTACTAACAAATACAAAGTGGTATTCATTAATAATGATGCTCTGTTAGTGAAATTTGGCTCTGGGGTGTCCAGATTGTGCTGAGGCTGTCCACTTCAGAGAGGTGGCAGGAGGACCACTGGCAAGTATAAATGAGTATAAATAAGTAGCAAGTTGGAAATCCTGTCTTTTGCAGATCTACAGAGCTGGAACCTAGTGGAAAGGGAATGGAGTCTGGAACTGGCTGGAAGGTTGTCCCACATTAGGGACAGGGAGTGACCAGCAATTCAGAGTATCCATAGCACACAGCAAATACCCAGCTTGATTTTATTCAGCATCATTCACAAGTTTTATCCTGTGGAGGATCTGATTCCCCCAGGTATTTCTGACCAGTGGTACATTTGAGCAGGGTCAGTGCTGTAGTTCAAGAGACTATTTTTGAGCAAGACCCAACTGCATGACTCAAGGCAAGGGTAGGCATCCTGTCTGGGCCCGGGGAAGCCAAAGCCTGGAGCCCATTGTTCAGATGGGACAAGCTGGGGCTTCCATCAGGCTAATCAGATACTACTCAGCTGTTAATAATGGCTGTCATATCAAGTGTTTTCTGTGTGGAGGACAGTGTGTGCCAGATACCCTTTATCTGCGTTTCCTGACTGAATCCTTACAACTGCTCTTTGAAGTAGATACCGTTTTGCAGGTTGAGGAAATTCAGGTTTTGATCAGGGTCGAACATCTGGTGGCAGAGTTGGACTTTAAGACCTGAAGCTTTTAACCATGCTGGTAGGCTGAAACATCACAGGTTTAAGAACTTTGGACTAATTCTAGTCCCCGCCTCTAGTGAGACCGAGCCTAACGGCATCTTGCCTGCCTGCGTCACGGTCTTAATGCTTGCCTGGGAGAGGGCAGTGGCTAGGACACCCTTCTTAGCACAGGGCACAGACCATGGTTTTTTTTTTTTTTTTCCCCCAGTGGCTAATTGTAAAACTTGCTGCTCTGTGATTGATGTGGTGACCCTCCTGAGCTTGGGACACATCCATTGGTGGGCTTTCCCGAGGTGATCTGATGTAGGTGGGCTCAGCAGTCCAGCCTAGTGGTGAAAGGTCATGGTTTCTCAAGCCAGACATACCAGGTTCTGCTTGTGATCTTGGGTAATTTTCTTTGTGCCTCAGCTTCCCTGTCTTTAAATGGGGTTGTGGTGAGGATATATGAGTGTTATTGTCCATAAAGTGCTTAACATAGTGCTTGGCATGGTATCAAGCGCTCAGTAATTGATGACTACTATTATTAGCTATTAGCCAACAGCTACTGGGTCCAGGGAAACTTTCAGCTTTAAAACACTTGAAGTGCTGCCACCCTGGGACACACGGCTGAGCACCATGATTGAGCCTGAGAAATCTCTGGGTACAGAACTATTTTCCCAAAGAAAGAGGAGACACAAAGGAAGGGAGCCCATTGAGTAATCAGGGGACCACGCTTACCTTCAGATCTGAAAATACTTTTTTCTGGCTTGAGACCACAACTTGCTTCAAAGAAAAGGACCAGAATGGAAGAAAGGGACCCGGCCTTCTGGCACTTGCTGGTTGATCGTCTGTCTAAATTGATTTCCCCTCCTTTTTTTTCATCTGCTGGGCATGTAAAACGCCTTCAGGTTTCAGCTGGTACTGCTGTGCCAGGTCATCAAAGATGCTCTCATGTGGAGGGCTGGTTGGGTAAATGGATTAGGGCCTCTTGGGAGGCCCATCTGTTCTGTCCCTATGTGAAGGCCTTGGCGCCAGTATTTGGACGAAGCTGATATAATGCAGCATCTGTCCAATGGGGCAGGGGTGAGTAGCCTAGGGTAGGTGGGTCAGTAGGAAACCAGGAAATCCTCTTATCCTGCCAGGTACCTGGGCTTCCCTCAGCAGTGGGAGCTGAGCCCCAAAGCCTGGTGAGTCAGTGTGCCTGGGAATTAGAGTTGCCAGTCTGTGAGCATGTGGGATCTGTTTAAGTTTGGGCCTTTTGTTTCTTTCAGCATTTTAGTCTTTAGAAACAAATCTGGAAACCAGACCCTCCACATGGTATAGTCCTGCTTGTTTTGAGATAATTCAGCTTGAACAGTTGCTCCCCTTGTATGCTGGTCTTCTAAGAATTAACCCCTTACCTTTTAAAATTGTAACAAGTTGTGCTCATGGCTTACTAGCTATATTCTAAAAGCATAAAAAGGCTTTACAAAACTTAACTTGGGTCTGTCATTTTCCACACCAAAACCCTTCTAAGGGTTTCAGCGTGTTTTTGAAACCTAAGTGAAACTGCGAGTCTTTTTTTAAGGGCGTGTATAATCATGTCTGTCATGAATTCTCTTTGAAGGTGGACAGTGGGACACACCCCGATACAGTGTGATTCCGGTAACTACAGGAATGATTCTGGTTGTCATTTTAAACTTGTACACTCAGAACATACCCTTAGAATTCCTTTTGAGGATAGCTCTGAATTTATCCAAGCACTATTTGGAGGAAGCTAAAGTTCTTTAGGTAAAGTTTAAAGCTCCAGCCTTCCATTAAAAGCACCCTTCTGCCCCACTGCCAGTCTCCTTAGAGCTTTGAATTTGGATTGTGGAGGTCCCTGACGCTAGAGCTGGAGAGGCATGGGACTGACATTGACTTGGTCTGCTTTCCCGACTATACTTCTGGCTCCTGGTCTAAATTTCTATTAACATTATAATTTCAGAGGCTGCAGTTATTATAGCAGGTAGCAAACTTTTATAAGTACTAAATTTTAGATGGATCTTCTAGTGGACTAGTTGAAGGTAAGAATAAGAGTCTGAGTAGATAGAGTCTTCAGAGAAATCACCTCATCCCTGGCCCAGAAATTTCTAGCAATTCTTTAAAAACCACTTTTTCGTTACTTAAGTAATAAATAAATCACTGTGATGTTATGTATCAGTGCAGGCTTTTCTTTTTCATCTAGCAGTTATTCTGTCATTTAGAGACTGTATTTGGGTAAATCAGCCCTTCTTTTAAAATGGAGATGCTATCTTGGAAGACTAAGCCTGCAGGCCCTACAGGACATTCACATTTAGTGTGAACTTGACTTTCCTCTACATACCACCTTGCTGCGGGTGGGGATTAGAAAAGCAGCTCAGTGATTGGGACCCATGGCGTGGAGAACAGTCTTGGTGGATGGCTCCCGTAGGTGGATAGAGGAAGCGGGGAGAAAGGGCATTTCACCTACTGTGCGGGTGGGTCCCAGAAAGGAATTTGAAGAAATCAAGACAAATTTTACTTTGTTATTTGGCTAGGACTCTGCCGTTAGGCTTGACTCTGCAAATTCTTTATCTCATCTTTAGGCCATTATGAAACTATATAGTTGTTTTGGATGTGGCTACCCCTTCTTCCTACTCATCCTACTTAAAAAGAACATCTGAGAATTTTAACATTAGAGACTAGAAGATGAACCTTTTATTTGTACCTTCTGGGTTAATACAGGTCCAAATAACTTTCTTATGTGACGGCAAGTTGGCAAGACAAATTTCCTTTGGAATATTTCTGGCAAAACCGTAGTCTTCCTTGATGCATTCTGCACATGAATCAACTTCTTTGTGATCTATGTTACCTTTAAGAATTTTAGGAATTTTCCTTATTGGTTCTCCATATGTGCTCTAACCACTGCATTTCCAAGGTGAAGGTATGGGCTTGCGAGGGAGGTGATAATGAACTTGGGGTATTTCCCCTCATTCATGGTTAGCTCATTGAAATAGAGTGGTGTTCCAGTGTGCAGTCCCTGGAGGGAAGCTTGCATACTCTGTCTCCCTGTCCAGCAGTGATTGCTCTCTAATTTCCTTCCAGGTTGGCTGGCTCCTCTGGCTGATGGCATGTTGAGGCACGTGGGTCAGTGGCAACAAGGGCATCCAATCCAGAGGGGGCCACTCTAGAGGCCAGGCCACCAGCATCATGGGCCAGTGTGTCACCAAGTGCAAGAATCCCTCATCAACTCTGGGTAGCAAGAACGGAGACCGTGACCCAAGCAGCAAGTCACACGGGAGGCGGGGTGCAGGCCACCGTGATGAACAGCTGCCAGCCTGTGGCAAGCCAGGTGGGGATATCCTTGTCAATGGGACCAAGAAGGCAGAGGCTGCTACTGAGACCTGCCAGCTGCCAACATCCTCAGGAGATGCTGGGAGGGAGCCCAAGTCAAATGCCGAGGAGTCTTCCTTGCAGAGGTTGGAAGAACTGTTCAGGCGCTATAAGGACGAGCGGGAGGATGCAATTTTGGAGGAAGGCATGGAGCGCTTTTGCAATGACCTATGTGTGGACCCCACGGAATTTCGAGTGCTGCTCTTGGCGTGGAAGTTCCAGGCTGCTACCATGTGTAAATTCACCAGGTTAGTCACGAGTACTTCATGTCACCAGGTGGTCAGAGGGAAGGAGAGCACCACTGAGCAGTGGTGCCCAGCTAGGATACAACTGGATTGACTTCATAGGGTTTTGGATAAATCTTACTTTCTTTTTCTGACCAATATCTCTCAAGCTATTCAGCCTCTGAAGAACTGGGTACCAACCATCCTTGCCTGAAGTTAAATGAGGAATAATCCATGTTGCCACACTGCTGCCCCGCCCCACTGCTGTTTGACTTTTATCTTTTCTTTCACTCCTGTACTTGTCAATTCATTCACTTCCTCACTCGATGTTTATTGTACACCTATCATGTGTTAGGCATTGAGTGCCAGTATAGTGAGTGCCACTGGGGATGTGCTTCAGTAACTGCATGAAGCCAGTTGCCCCTTCTAGCTCTCCGCACATTACCCTTAGCCAGCCTGTGCGCCAACAAGGACAGCTGGCCCTAGTTATCAACTAGTAGTTGCGTACGTTGTCATGGTCATTCATCCCTATAGAGGTTGTTTGTGGGAGACAACATGGCAGGGTCACTGCAAGGTGTGGTTTTCAGAGCACTGGGTTATAAGTAAGTAAGAAGAATTGACTTTGAGAACCCCTCGATACAATTTTTAGACCCTGGGTAGGTTACTCGACAGACCTCAGACGTTCTATCTTCAGCAGTTACAGAAATCTCTGAGATGATGGTCAATGTGAGACCATGTTGTAAGCTAAAAGTGTTATTATACAGATGTTAAAAATACATACTCAATTTTTGTTTTTTAATAACGGAACTTTGATCTCTGGTGGCAGAGTTACCCAGGTTTATCCAGAATCTTTGGCTCCAAAAACTTCCCTTGGCAGTCACCAAAAATATTCCAAAAACAAACAACCCCTAGAGAATCAAAAGGAAAACAGGAAGAGACTCCCCATCTTGGAGGAGAGTCCGCAGCTTAATCACTGCTGCAGAACGGGAAGCAGAGCGTGGAGCAGCAGACTGAGTTTAGCTTTGGAAAGATGAATAGATGAGTGAATGAACCATTATCAGCTGTCTGCCATGTACCAGGCACTATTAGAAGCAGCTGACATATTAACTTGTTTAGTCCTCACCAGAACCCTATGAAGTAAGGTAGTATTCTCACCATTTGGCAGATGAAGAAATAGGACTACAGTTAGCCGAGGAGTTGGCATTCAAATCCAGACAGCCTCACAGCTACCCTCTTAATTATGATACTATATTGCCTCTCAGTAAATTATACCGTTTACAATTATTAATTGTGCCCCCTCCTTCCTGTTGCAGGAAGGAGTTTTTTGATGGCTGCAAAGCAATAAGTGCAGACAGCATTGATGGGATCTGTGCACGGTTCCCTAGCCTCTTAACAGAAGCCAAACAAGAGGATAAATTCAAGGATCTCTACCGGTTTACATTTCAGTTCGGCCTGGACTCTGAAGAAGGGCAGCGGTCACTGCATCGGGAAATAGCCATTGCCCTGTGGAAACTAGTCTTTACCCAGAACAATCCTCCAGTATTGGACCAGTGGCTAAACTTCCTAACAGAGAACCCTTCGGGGATCAAGGGCATCTCCAGGGACACTTGGAACATGTTCCTTAACTTCACTCAGGTGATTGGCCCTGACCTCAGCAACTACAGTGAAGATGAGGCCTGGCCAAGTCTCTTTGATACCTTTGTGGAGTGGGAAATGGAGCGAAGGAAAAGAGAAGGGGAAGGGAGAGGTGCACTCAGCTCAGGGCCCGAGGGCTTATGTCCCGAGGAGCAGACTTAGTGGCTCTGTCTCAGGAGCAGCAGCAAGGATCTGCTCGCTGCCCTGCAGCCAACCAAGGAATTGGACCTTTCTGGAAATTACTGAAGATCCGGATATTTTCTACTTTACACCTTTCTCTGCCTTGTATCTGAAAGGGCTCTAAAATGCTGTATCATGTTTTAGGCACTTTCTTCACTTTTTGGATATTTTGGTTATTTCTTTTTTGTGGGGAGGGTCCCCCAAAATATCTGAACCTGGCTACATGTTGTGTATCTTTTTTTTTTTTGAAGCCTTCAGATAGAATAAGCCTGCCACTTCTTGCACAGATTAGATTTTTTTGGGGGGGTGGGGGAGGGTGTAGAGCAGGGAGGGGGGAATGGGACAGTTAGGTTGAATTATCATTACAAAACAATACAGTGCCAGATCTCAGTTTTGCATATTCTTGTTTTTCAGGGCAGGTCTGTACTGTGTGTAGTGCTGTTTACATTGTTGAATTTAGGTTGTAATAATTATTTTTAAAGATTTACACAGAGTTGAATAACAGTGTTAACTGTTAACCACATTGCATTAATTCCCAGGCGATTTAAAGCTCTTGGAGAGCCAAGGCCAGCCAAGAGCATTTGTAGTCTGGTGACAACCCCCTTTTAAGCTAATTTATCTGGAACCCTTATTTTCCTCACTTCTTGCTCATTCCTTCTTTGACCTATTGCATTTCATGTTGAGTTTATCCATCAACATGCTGCACCTGTCAGTCAAGTGAGCGGGTTTTTTTAGAACACATTGTACTGAGAACCACTTAAGCATTGAATGCAGAGAAAGCAGTGCTACCTCAGTTTTGCTGGAAGTAGACTTTGATAGTTTTCTTTCTTTGATGAACTTTCTGTATTTTCACGTTGTAAGTGGAAATACTTTTTTTTTTTCATTTGCCTTGGAGCCAAAGTTTCTGTTCCTGGGGGTCAGAAAACTGTGCCTGCCGGCCAACTGACTTGAAGGAAAACTGTGGTATGGAGCTCTGCTTGAATTTTTTTTTTTTAATTGAGTATCATCAGCTTACTTGTCTGGCAAGTGCAGAAGCCTGGACTGGCTTGAACTCTGCCAAACAAATATAAAAATGTATTTAATAGTTAAAACGTGTGCCCTTTCCCTTCTTGCTGCACCCATGTTGTCACTTAACCCCCAGAAGTTATTTATTTTCTTCTTTGTTAATGTCAGGCTCATTTGGGGTAATGTGATGACTGTTTAGGTTTACATGACCCACCTCTCCTTTTCCTACCCCCAAATATGTATATATACATATATAAGATATGTATATATTTTACCTATATAAAATATATATATATACACATATATGTATCTATATTTCTTTGTTTCTTTGCCTGCTAAAACTGGCTATAAAAGGGAGCCTTCAATATATATAGTATAAGAAGAGTGCCAGGGAACATCATAATGGAGGCTTTTGAATCAGAATTTGGACCAGTTTCATTAAAGAGAAGATTAATTTTCTCAGCCTTTTCCTCACAAGAGGGAGTCCCAGTTCCCCAGACTCCTCTGCCTGCTCGCTCCATAAGGCCAGCTTTGGCCAAACTGCCACACGGGAGCTGACTCTGGTCCTACCTGGTTTCAGTAGAGGGTCCTCTTGTTATTTTTCCACTAAAAAAAAAAAAAAATGTCCTCATAAAACTGTACTGGAAGGGTGGGTGGCAGGAACTTGTACTGTTCAGCTTCCAACACTTTGGAACAGATTGAAAAGGGAATCTTTTAAATAAAAAAATATTTACACTCTTGAGGTAATGAAGAGTTTGTCTATTAAACATTTGGAGTTTTCTCCCCCAACTTACCCCCCATCTCCCTCCCTGGTATATGTTTCTCAGCCTGGGCAGGAATCACTTATTTTGAGTTCCTTTATTAGGTAGCCTATGGCTCTGGGCTCCCATATTTACAAAAATGATTTAAGGAGTTTCTGCAGTTGATGTTTTTCTAAAATTGGTATTGACAATAGGGAACATACTTGAAGTTAGATTTTCTTTTTTGAATCCTAACCCTGACAGTTGCCCCTTCTTGGATGGATGGATGGGAAACTTTAAAGTCAGCCACAGTAGGTTGGCAATACTGCTGGAAAGCTGACGAGGGTCCCAGTCCAGATGTCTGGCTTTGTTCTAGCCTAAGACACAAGATCCTTGTATAAAGAGTTTCTAGAGGTCCTAGCAGGTTCTGTGTCTCAACTGTAGTCAGGGCATCTAGAGTGAGGTGTTAACAAGACTGCCTTTTTCATCCAGTCAGTGTGCAACCCCCAGTTTTTCCCAATTCTGGATTGGGTAGAGGTTGAATAAGGGTAAAGGCAGGCTGCTCCTGGCCAGGTAAAGCTTTTTCTGTCTCAGATCAGAAGGGTGTATGGAGAGAAGGGCACAAAAGAGGTAGATGTTGAATATCCTGAGGACTCTGGAGGAACTGGATTCTTTCCCCAGCCTATAAGAAGGCATGATTCCATGCATTAGGTGTGCTATGATGGGTGGTTTTTTGTTTTAATTCAGCTCTTGAGCTTCCTCAAGAACCATTAAAAAAATTATTTTGGGTTATATATTTAATGGTCTATTTGTTGCAAAAATGCAAATTAGAAGCCTGAAAAGGGAATGGTCAGGGAGGGAGTTTCCTTCCAGGTTTGAGTCCTTAATGCAAGGAATTCAAGCTTCTGCAGTAGCCTGGGCCAGTGCTCATCAACTTTCTCATGAAAAGCAGTTTTCTGCAAAGGGATCCAAGGTAGTGTGTGTGTGTAGGGTTTGCAGTTGCACTTGTGGGAAATGAAAGGTCCCTGTTCCTCTTCACCTAGAGATAGGTTTGCTGCTTAATGAGCAGTAATTGCTCACTCAGTGAGTTGAAGAGGTCAGTGCATGCCCCTCAAATAAGCCAGTGCACCCTTCACTTTAACAATATGACACCAGAGTGGTGTGGTAGTGTGGAGAGGTGCAGGATGTGGATGCCATTTTGAAAATAGGCAAATATCAGAGTGGCTACAACAAACTGAATACGTTGGGAAATTGCTTGATTTTTGGCAGTTTTTTTTTTTTTGTTTGCGGTATGCGGGCCTCTCACTGTTGTGGCCTCTCCCGTTGCGGAGCAACAGGCTCGGGACGCGCAGGCCCAGCGGCCACGGCTCACGGGCCCAGCCGCTCTGCGGCATGTGGCATCTTCCCGAACCGGGGCACGAACCCGTGTCCCCTGCATCGGCAGGCGGACTCTCAACCACTGCGCCACCAGGGAAGCCCTTGGCAGTGGTTTTGTGTGTGAGCATCTGTGGTATTTCTTTAGCAATTGATTAGAAAGCTGTATGAGATGAAGTGTGCTTCATTGAATTGCTCTTCCCCTATCCCTGCCAAATTTGAATGTATCATTCTTAGCCCTGCCTCCTGTAATGACACTGTTATGCTTCAGCTAGTTGCCTCAGCAGTTCTCCCTGCCAGATGTGCTCACATGTGTGAGTTGGGTCCAAGATCCCATTTCTACCCTTCTGATAAGAAAAAAAATCTAGAGCTGGGTAAAGATCCAAATTTCAACCAAGCCCTCAGGCCCAAGGAAATCCAATAGAAAACGTACAAGGCAGTGTTTTCAATATTAAACTTCCCTAAGGAAGGCACAAACTAGCCTTCTTGGAAAGAAAGATTAAGCCACACATTATTTTTGGTCTTTTAAACAGTACGGATCTCCCAAGGACTGGTGGCAAAATTCAGTCCTCAGTGCTGGAGCCTGCAGGGTGTGGGACTCCACAAGTTCACGTGATGGCCTCATATACTATACCATGCCAAATTTAAACAACGGTAGGAAATTACTGGGATAAGGACCTGGTATAGGTTTAAAAAACAAAACAGAAGATCTGTATTTAGGACTGTGTTTGGTTTGCCGCATTTAAAGTAAAGTCTTCAGTGCAGTGAAGCCCAAAGGTAGACCCAAGTACACAATTATAAGGGCTGGAAGAAAGCTGCTGTTCTGCTGTAGTAGCCTGCTTTGCCATTTCTGTCTTATGTTTGGTTAGTGATGACCTGAACATCTTGGTAATTGACAAGGTCTTCCTTGGGGGACTCCAGCAGTATCTTGTTTAAAGAAGATGGACTTAAAAGGACTATTAAGTCATTGAAGTGTTAATTGGGACTCATTTGAGAACAGGTGACATTGATCTTCCTCTTAATGCGCACAGTCTATTTTCTGATTCATGTAGAGGGGTTCCCACCCACTTCCCCTTCAGAGTTTACTCCTTTGCTAAGCTGTAATTATAGCACATATCCAGGTTCACCTTGACTGGCACTGCCTTACAGTGAGGATCTGCAGGTGTTTTTCCTCATTGAAAGACAAAATTGAGTAACCATCAGATTCTGCTTCTGATTCAGGTGCTAGGGCATCACATCCTCCTCCCTATTTCTCTTCTTGGAAACTGAGCCTGCTCTTCCACCACCCACCTTCCCTAGTAGAAACTTTCAACACAAATCTTGGATATTGCCAAAGCCATTCAGCAGCTGCTGTGGTTTTATTCCCAACACACATTTATTCTGAGAGAAGTGTCTTCCCTCTGACCCTGGTCGCAGCCCCCTGAGTCTGTTATTAATTGCTCTTACCTGTTGCACTAATGAATAAGATTCTAGGTTTCAAAGGGGGAATTTGAAGCAACAGACAAATGGGGCTTGGATAAATTGGTCCTACAAATAAGATACCCTGCCTTAACCCGCTGAGGTGATGAGTCCACTACTCATGTGACCCTCCACCTTTGTGGATTCCTCTTGGTTTGTGACCAGTGTGTCTGTTTCTTGAAGTTGTACAAATTTGTGGACAAAAGTCAATACTTTGATTTTTATTCTCTGCACTATTGCACTCCCCAAATGGCTCCTTGAATTTTTTAATTAACTTGTTACACACATTATTGTCACTTTTTTATTTGGAAGGTAACCTGCTGTTGGACTTAATATTTGTTTACTTGACTATTGATAATTCTGCAAAAAACAAAAACAAAAAACCAACCCCCAAACAAACAAAAAAACCACTGACTTCATTCTGGGGTGAGCTTTACCCACCAGGAGCCTCTTCCACCAACATACTGGATGGCAAATCCTGTGCTTTGTAAAATAATCCAGATGGTACAGGATCCCTAGCTACAAACATGGATTGTTGACCTCCCACTCACCAAGCTTAATGGCTTTTGGAGTCCCAGGACTTGTAGGCAAGAAGCAAATGAGTCCTCACAGGGCCACTACCTAAACAGTCTTACCTTAGCAGTTGACATCGATTCCCTTGAAGAATAAAAAGCGAACGCTGTTCTAAATGGTTGGCTCCTACATCTGTTAGGTTGGCAGTGATTAAGGCAAAGGAGGCAAACTGAAAACTGTCAAGTGCTACTGCTCTGTGACCTTCGGCAAGTTAAATTCTGTGTTTCCTTTTAGTCATCTGCAAAATCAAGAGACTTATTTCTATCAGTGTTAGGATTTAGAAGAACATCTGTGATTTATAAAGCACCTAAGACACACAAGTTTAAGGTTTCAAAAGGCTGTTAGGTGAGTAATGCAGGGAATCCAGAGAAGAAGGTTGGCATGGTCACACACAACCATTCACAAGTCACTGCCCCTCTTGGGGGCTCAACTTCCCCCTGTGCCAAATTGGGAGGATGGGGGGCTTAGACTAAAATGATCCCTGATGGCTCCATCTGGCTCTTATATTCTGGAAGTCTAATTGTGGTACATCTTAGCTTCCTTTCATTGTATTTTTTGTCTAGTTATTGTTTATGCTCAGGAAAACAAGGGGTTGAGTACATGAGGCTTGGTGAAAACATCATTGAATATTCCAGGGATTTTAAGTTATATATCACAACCTGTTTGAGGAACCCACATTATCTCCCTGAAGTCACTGTGAAAGTCTGTCTCCCCAACTTTATGATCACCCCCTTGGGCCTCCAAGATCAACTCCTTGGCATCGTGGCCACCAAGGAGAAGCCAGAACTGGAAGAGAAAAAGAACAAGTTGATTGTGGAAAGTGCCAAGAACAAGAAGCAGCTAAAGGAAATTGAAGATAAGATCTTGGAGGTCCTTTCCCTTTCTGAGGGCAACATCCTTGAGGATGAGACTGCCATCAAAATTTTGCAATAACTGACAAATGGACACTATACTTAATGTGTAAAGAGACCTTAAAAATTCAGAATGGAAAATTCATTATGGAAAAGACAACAGAAACATGAGCAAAGGATATGGACAACTCTCTAAGGAAAAACAATTGGCCAAAACCTTCTGGAAAAAATAGCAGATGACAATCTGAGAGGTGTGGGGAATAATAAAGTGAAGATTAATCTAAAGGGTATTCAAATAAACATAAATTAAACCTATAATGAAAAACTTTTTTAATCTGTCAAATTAACAAAGATTTGAAACAAATCGATGCTAGCAAACACAAGGTAAAAACTTTCCTGGAATTAAAAAGTCCTTCAGTGTTCATACTTTTTAAAAAAGCCCAGTAATTTCACTTCTAGGAATTTTTCCTCAAGAAATAATTATCTGCCAAAGATGTATGTGCAAGGATATGATTGGCAGCATCATTTGGGAACAACTTAGTGCCTTAGGGGACTGTTTTAGAAATTATGGCACACATCAACATGTTGGAATATTATGCAGCTATTAAAAACTGCTTTTGAATAATGGAAAAAGTATGATAGAAGATTGTAAAACAGGGGCAGTCATTGAGTGGTGGGATTAGATATGGTTTTAACTTTTCTAGATTTTTCAAGTTTCCATTAATGGATTTCCTTTATAATAGGGAAGAGAATTTACAAAAAGGGGGACAAAAGGAAATGAAAATGACATGGCTGAGTGTACTACTAAACAACCCCACTATGGGTGAGGAGGCCAGAAAGTTGGGGAGTAATATGTTCAAAGACTAAACCAAGTGTTCTGTGAAAACCCTTCAAGTTGCCTTTCCCCCACAAATGAGAAGCTGCTCCTGCAGCTGCCTTGGCAGCTCTGCATTGGCTGCCTAGAAGGGTGTGGGAGGAAAAATGCACAAACGCACTTATGAATGGAATGTGTGTTTTGCAAGAGGCCAAGTTGGCAGCTTTGGCTTCCAAAAGGTGGGAGCATCAGCTGAAAGAACAGTGTGTGCAGACCGGGGCCTCAGAGACCTTATGGTCCAGGCCTATCTCTGTAGAGTTCTAGAGTTGGGGGCCCATGGGGAAACTTCCACCCCCACCCATCCAGGAAAAGGAATGGCCTTGGCTTTTCCTAGGAGCAAAGGGAGTGCTCTTGGCACAGGGAACCTTCATCTGCTCTGTGAATATGCAGTTGGAAGATGATCCTCAATAAAATATAGGCTTTCCCTAATTTAATTCTCACAACAACCTTATGAAGTAGGTACTAATGTTGCCATCTTTAAAATGAGGAAACTGAAGGGAGCTCCCTGGTGGTCTAGTGGTTAGGGTTCCATGCTTTCACTGCTGTAGCCGGGGTTCAATCCCTGGTCGGAGAACTGGCAAGCTGAGTGGCATGGCCAAAATAAAAAAAATAAAAAATAAAATGAGGAAACAGGCTCAGAGAGGGCAAATAATTCATACATATCCCACTATTTGGTCATTTTCCACAAACTGAATCTTTAAATATTCATAATAGTCCTTAAAAGTAGATACATCCTCATTTTATAGAGCTGTAGAAATGGACTCAAATAAGGTTAAGTGACTGGCCCAGGAGCACAGCTGAAGTGCCAACCTAGACAGACACTTACTTTGTGTCTCAGGACTGGAGTCTCGAAGTAAACAGCAGCTAAACTCCCACAGCTTTGGAGCTCAGCTGCATGGGGAAAGAATCCAGCAACATTGTTTCAAGATGTTCTCAAGGCCTTGCAGCTGAGGTCAGCAGTGTACCTGGGGAACTTAGCTCTTTACAGGGGAACTTCATCCAAAATCAAGAGCTTCAGTTCTGGCTCCAGGTTACCAACTTCCAGATTGTATAGAAGTTGCATTTAAAGGATTAAACACTGCCTCAAATGCCCAACCTTGAGAGTTATTTTAGTTATTTTTTTCTAACTATGAAAGCAATATATGCTGACTTAAAAAAAAAAACAACAGCCTATATACAGAAGAGCATTTGGTAAAATCGAATCTGCCAATCCCACTAGCCAGAGACTGTTCATATTTTGGTATATAGCCTTCCAGGTTTTGTTCCAAGGCTGTGCATATCTTTGTATAGTTTTTTCTACTCAAACTATACAGATTATCCTGTAACTCTCCATGCTTTATACAACCTATAATATACTATAAATGCACTATCTCATCTTCACAACAATCCTATAAGATGTATACCATTATTATGTACCAAGCACAGAGATGTTAAATAATTTACAGTAATTCAAGCTCACCTAACTAAAAAGTAGGAAAGCTGGAATTTAGAGTCTAGCAGTTTGGATCCAGAGGTCTACTGCTGCTTCTTGTAGATCTCTTTCACTAGAGATTTTATTTACACACACATGTGCGTGCACACACACATAATTTTTAAAAATAGCTACCTAGAATTCCATTGAATAACCCCATGAAATCTCCTCCATACATGTTTTTGAGGATATTACTCTAGGAGTGGGATTGCAGGGTCCCAGGGTAGAGAGAAATTTAACAAGATTTTTTGTAATGATACATACTACATGCCAGATTAATTCATCTTTTCTGGAGGGCAGCTAATATCTCTGTCAGTTTTGGAACTGTGTGTGCCTGTGCCCATGTCCTTTCCAACACAGAATGTTGACAATTTGAGAGTTGATTAAAAAAAAAAGCAAAGGCTTTTACTGAAATTAGAGCTTCTAAGGGAGAGCTCTGGTGTGATGGAGGCACCTGTTGGTAAAGGGTAACACTGCAGTCTCACTCCGAAAGGAAGGAAGCATCCCTGAAAATTGAAAGGGGGCTTCCTGGATTGGTTAAAAGCTAAGAGTCAGTCTTCAACTTTGATCTGGTGGACCTGCCAGATTCGCAGTCTGCCTATCTTTTTCCTTCAGTATTATAAAAGCCATTAATAGAAAACAGTTTGCCTTACAGAAATTTGCTTCACAGATGTTACCACTTTGACAAACTACGTAATACCTGGGTTTTCTCCACAGAGAAGTCACTCCTCCTGGTTTCCTTACCTATATATGGTATACCATTTAATAGGAGTGCTACATGAAATAAGCACCTGCTGTAATACCTGTGTATAAACCCACCGACACAAAGAAAGTACAAACTGGTTTCCTCCCCTCACCTTGTCTTAAGATGAGGAATGTCTGAATTTTAGGCATTTATTGAAAATTTGTACATGTCATATAAATGGACTAGACTCCTTAAGCTGGTACAATGTTTCCACAAACTGTCTACTATATAGAGGTCTGCCAGCCTCTGGAGTGCCTGCAGCCTGACCAAATTCTCTGCCATTGCCCACGAGGGATTAAGAAATGTGGCACATGGAAAATGGTGGGCAGACTCACAAACACTAGTTTAGGGTGTTGCTTTCCTCTTCATCTTTTATTCCCATCAATCCTAGGCCAGAGAGCGATCCATGAGTGCTGCAACAGATGAGGAATAAAGATAGTTTTTGTCGACAGGGTTGAATGAATGGTTATAGACTAAGGTAGAGGAAAAAGGTGTTTTTTTTGATATGTGTATGTGCCATGGGGCAGGGGGCAGGCAGGTAGACAGCTTATGGAAAGCTGCCTGCTGAAAATGGTCCAATGGAAAGAATATTGACTAGTCCCAGATGCCTAGAATCAAATCATAGCTCTGCCACTTAACAGATGTGAGGCACATCTCAACTAAGGGTGAATGATCTCAAACTAAGACTCAGTTTCTTCAACTATAAAGAAATATTAAATATTTAAATTACTATCTCACAGGGCTTTTGTGAGGACTACAGACAATAATGGCTAACATGTTAACATATATGGAGCACTTACTGCATGTCAAGCAGTTAGGACTCTGTATGTGTTCTCATTTAATCCTCCAAACAGCTAGTGTACCTTATATAGATACTGATATAGATACAATTGTTATGTCCACTTTTCAAATAAAAAAACAGGATTATAGGCATGATATAACTTGCTCAAGTCACACAACCATTAAATGACAAAACCAGGTAATAATGGCAGTCTGTCATCAGAATCCTTTTAAGCTGCTATTAGAATTTTGTTTGCTTTATTTAAAACACTTTTGTAGCACCTATCATGTGCCAGGCACTGTTTGAAAAACTTTACAAGACGTTAACTTTTAATAATGTATGTTGTAAAACACCTAGCACAGTGCTTAGAATTTAGGAGTCATCTGGTACATATTAGTTCCCTGCCACCAAGTAGTGAATATTCTTGGAATTGGGTTAGAGTGCTGAGGTGCTCTCCAAGGCAAAGGAGGCAGAAATGAGCAAAGACAAACACAGAATCTGTCTCCACCTGATGTCTGAACTTAAGCTAACAAGCCACAGGCCTTTTGGCTATGGAGGACTAGGAGCTCTAAGTGCTGGAGAGTGGCTCTGGACCTAGAGACCGTCAGAATTCAAATATTAATTGTGCACTTACTATCTGGGTGACCGTAGGCAAGTTGCTTAATCTGAGCCTTTTTCTCATCTTGTTAAATGGAGATTCAACAACCTTAACCAAAACTGCATATAAAAGCACTTAGCACTACTTGACACATTAAGGGTTTGATGAATTATAGCAATTATTAATATTTTCAGTATTAATTTTAGCAGCCACCAGAAGTATAAGGATTAAGAGCTGAGTCAGGCTCCCAGCACAAGGAAACCTTCTACTCTCCTTGCTACTCCTTCTTCCTGAGCCACTTTTACCCTTTCCCAAGTGTTATCTGCTGGCATCATGGAGACAGCTGCACAGATGAGGCCCAGAGAAGTCAGTCACACAGCAAGCTTATAGTCTGGGGAAATACATGCTCTCCTGCTGCTGGGTTTGATCATTATGGCTATGGAAATTAGCAACTTTTAAAACAAAGGAGTAACAGCAGGTTTTGTTACTACAGGATTTGCTATTTCCAGAGTTTTCTCCTGACTTGTCAAACATGCCTTAGGACCTCTGCCTCAGTCAGAACCTAAGCCTTTTTTGCTCCCTGACCCAATGCTCCCTCCTCTAAGCCCTCATCCCCTGAGAACATCCCAGCTACTTCTGGAAGAAGAAAGCTTTGGCCCTCTCTTGGCTTAGTTTACCTACACAATGGGGAGCTACAAGCTAAGTATTCCACTTGGTACACGAAAACTCCTATTTTACCCCTACCTCCATACACTGGCTCTGAGAAGTTTTATCCAGGCAAGTTTGCCCCTCAGGGTCCAAGCTCTTAAACAAAAGCTTTCTTTTTTCTTTCTTTGGCAATTTCTGGTCACTTTTAAACCTCTTGCTGTTAAGTCTACCCATAAGCCTGTTTGAAGTATATCAGTCTAAGATTTTTTTTTTGCTGTAAAACCTAGTACTTATTTCTGTTTCTCAGAGACAGTAATTCCCTCAAGCTGCCCAGCAGGTAGCCTGTTTCACTAGTGGCCCTAATACATATTACAAGAATTTTATGACAGGAAGTTAACTTCTGATCCAGGCTTCAAGGCCTGAGGCATTCATGTTTTGCCACCTGGGAACTTGGGCCTGTGAAAGAATCCTAGAATGTCAGAATTTTAAGGGACTTTAGAAATAATACAATCCAGTGATTTTCAAACTGTGCTTTTTTCAAAAAAAGCCCTCTTTCC